ATCGCCGCCCCCCCACCGGGGGATCGCCCCGGGCCGGATCCAGCCCCGGGGGGGTGGCGAGGGGGGCCGGTCACCCGCCCCCAGGCCCAGGCCGTGAGTCAGCGCCCCGCCGCCATCTCGGGGCCCGCGCCTCGCCCGGTCCGGCGGCACTGCGAGAGCCAGCCGGGCCCTGCCGCCGCGGGGAGCGGAACGGCCTCTCCTCCGCCGGCTCCCCCCGCGGCAGCCCCGGTGCGGGGTGGCTCGGTGGGGCCCGGCCGGCGCTCGGCCCCGCGGCAGGGGGCGGGGCGGCGGCGGCGCCGTACACGTGTCCCTGTGACTCTTGTTTACTATCGGCCGAGCGTCGCGCGGGGCACGCTGGGGGCTGTCGTCCGAGCGCGGCCAAGCTGGCAGGCGGCGGCGGCAGCGAAGACTACAGCTCCCAGAGTGCCCCTCGGCGAGACGGCGGAGGTGCTGGCCAATCGAGACGCTGTTTCGGGCTGATTGACGTGCAGCGCGGTGCAATCCGCTGCGCAGGAGAGTCAAAACATGTCCGCCCTCCGGGCGGATTCCTGATAGGCAGGTCAGACAACCAATAGAAAGCGGCTGCGACTTGAGCAACGTCGTCTTCCACCAATCGGCAACCCAGCAGCGCCAGGCCCGGGCGGGACGGGGGGAGCCGAGGGGAATTCTGTAATGGCGACGGGTTTGGTAAGTGCTACAAAGTTTAGAGCTGCCGCTTCTGGGGGGCTGCGAGGCTGCGGCGAGGGGCGGACGAGGCCCGCCGGGCCCGAGAGGAGCGGCGGCAGCCGCGGGCCGAGCGGAGGGGTCCGTTGGGTCGTGCTTTGTGGCGGCGGCAGCAGCTGGGACATTGTTTACCGGACGCTTTCCCTCAAGCGTTCCGGCGGAGCCGGGCTGAGACCCGCGGGGGCGCCGGGGCCTCTTTGGGGCTCTTCCTCCGCGGTGCCAGACCCCGAAAGCGAGAGGAATAGAACGGGTGTCCCCCCTGCCCGTGTCCCCCCCGGGGAGCCGCCCGCTTGCCCTGTTCTCTCAGAGGGAGGGCGCTCTGCCCCGTTTGAGGGAAGGAGAAGGAAGAGGAATTGGGGGGGGGGATGGGGACGCTTGGCTGCGGGTGAGCCCCGCAACTGGGACTGGCGGGCCTGTGCGGGGATGGGGTGCGGGGGAGGAGAGGGGGGCGCTCCGCCGCTTCCCCCCCCCCCCGGGCCGGGCGGTTCGCCGGTGTGGATGAATGGGGGCCTGCGCGC